GTGGATATGACAATAAGTTCGTAGCCCACACTAACTGTCCACAGAAAAACCCAAGAAAATAAATTTAGCGGTTTATTTTCCGAGCACCAGAAACGTGGGAACGAGGGATCAAAACAGCGGAATGTGGGAGTACAAATATATAAGCATACAAAAGGTGTTTGTGTCGTCTATTACGTTGACAGTGAAACTCCCTACGTTTATTCTGTCCTCATTTGTAATCCCCGCCCCACTTTTGCGTTTAGCGTTTATATATGAACTGACGTTTGTTGGTCCTTACCACTTCGCCCATTTGGCCTTGAGGTCATCCGGCAATTTGTAGCTCACTTTGCACGTGTGACTGTCGCACGTGGGAGCCTGTTTGCTCCCTTGGTTTGCACTTTTGTAGTCCAAGCAGACTGTGTGTTTTGGACGGGCGTCTACTGTCGAGGTTTGTATAATTTGTGAATTTGTCTTACACAATGTATAGAAGGCCAGCTCCTACTTTGTTTTGCCTGACGGAGGTCGTGGTATTACGCGTCACTCGAAGATACCATTCGCCCGTTGCACTGTTGGTTATCGAGAACTCCTCTTGATCTCCTCTGGAATGTAAACGAGAATGCCTTCGTGTTCTAACTTCCCTAGCGCCCCCGCTTCTTGAAGTAGACAAAAATGATCGTACTCCATGTTGGCGCACAATTTTGCATCTCTCGGCACTATACAGAAGAGGGGCCACTGGCTATTTGCACACTCCAATTATTTTCACCGAAACCATATGGTTTTCGAAGGTGTAGCTTTAACGAAGATTTGGTCTAATCCATTCACACCTTTCGGTGATATTTTGCTTATGGAATTTTGTTTAACTGAGCGAAATTTCAAGGACACGGATCACTAACGATTAGCATTTTTCGCCGCTTTACGTGAAATACTTTAGCTTATTTTGGCGCTCTTCGTTGCTCTTTAAAAACGGAAAACATCGTAAGAATATCCAATCCAAATTTCACCCTGGAAAACGGGTTGTTGACGTATGTTTGGTTCACAAATGCGTTTATATCCGCGAAGTATATTTTGTTCGGCGAACCTGGTCGCAGCACTTTTCCCATGGATCAGAGCGTGCATTAAGTACAACATAGTTAGACAACAGCATGAACTGTGCAGTAGCGATGCGAGAACGATCTCTGTGGATGATCCCCTTCCAAGATATGCATTACCAGCATGTAGATAATACAGCGTCACGAGATAGCCGCGGGTACCATTCCCATTATGAATATGGCCGCCATCAAGCGGTCACCATGGCAGCGGTGGCCGTTGTCAATCCCCTCGACTATATATCGTAACTGCTGGGTCCGTGTCTGTGTACGACGCTGATTATTGGACTGCACATGCACAGCAGTCTAATGCAGTGACCACCGACGTCCCTTTATACTCACGCGTTGTCACTCATCACGAACACTTATTGTAAATGCTAGGCCCGTGTCTGTGTGCGCCGCTGATTGCGGGGCCTCACTTATGCACAGCAACATAATCCAATGGCCATCGACGGTATTTCATACCCATGACCATACGTGATGCAGCTTATGTATGCTACCTATAGTGAACACCAGGCCAGTATCCATGTAAGCCGGTAAAAACGAGGCCTCAACTGTGCCTAAGATAGCCTAGTCTGGAGTCCTGTTATACTAGTTACTGTACTCGATGTTGTCTCAACTGGCTAACCCTCGTACCTGCTAGTCCCGTGTCTTTGAGCGGCGTTAATTAACTGGCAACTTGATCGAACTTAATCTGTCATACTCTTAACCGTATGTGTTGTCGCTTATCTATGATATTTATGGTAAACACCGTGCCGGTATTCATGCGAACCGATTCATATGAGGCGCAAAATACGCACACATTTCCAATCTAATGACGAATGACGGGCCTCATGCTCAAAACTGTAGGCGATGTCGCCTACGTTGACTACTTTTTGAAACTGCTAGGCTAGTGCCTATATGCGACAGTGATTATTAGGCCACAATTATGTGCAGTGTTTTAATCTAACAGCGGACGATTGCTTTCCATGCCCGTAACTGTCCGCGCTACCGCGTGTCTGCTATCTTTAGTGAACATCAGGCCAGTATCAATGCGGGCCGATAAAAACGGGGTTCCAGCAATGTGCGATATCTTAATCTAAGGACCAACGACGTCTACATCGTCTACATTGGCTGCTTATCGTAATTGCAGGGCCTGTCTATGTGCAACGATGAGTGTGGGGCTTCAACTATACCCGGTAGCCCGGTCCAACGAAGGCCCGTCACACTCATAACTATAATGGATGTCACCTACCGAGGCTACTCATAGTGGCTGCTGGGCCCATGCACATCCTCATAGCTGACTATAATGTCCCAAATATACATATAAGACCGATCCAACGACCTACGGCGGTCCTTCATTTCCATATGTCGTCCACCTGCCAAAACCCCATGCCTGAAAATTATACAACCATCTTTGACAAATCATGTTTCTCTTTATTGGTTGCATCATTACAAACACAATGTGCGGTCAATATGCTTCCCAGATTTTTACTCGGCAGGGTTTCTGAAAAATGTATAATCAGTTACGGCTGGGGTACATTTTCCGCGCTATCATTTAAAAGAAATAATCAACGAAGTGTTGGCTAACTGACCATTTGCTTATCAAACCCCGTTGTTCACCATTCCCGGTCGGTGTCCGCGATGAACCTGGAGATTTACCATTATAAGGGTGAACTCAGTAATTGCTGAATTCGTCCAATAGACGATAACGAGGGAGCCTTGTGAACATCAATCATTCGATAGTGGGTTTCGGCAACCATATGCAATATTGGGCGCGGCAAATTTAAAGCTAATGGTGGGTGTTTACTGGTCAGTCTTAAGACCATGTGGTGCAGACTTGAGCTCTAAGTACCAAGGTATACACGCGTCCTCAAAAGTGCATCCATGGATGCAGCCGAAAGGAAGATCTAGGTGTGTGCTTGGTGTCAAATCTGCTCATTTAGAGCATGTGTGACGGTACGACACCTACCTGCTGGGAATAAACATCGTTGTGATAGGATGACACTTTGTAGGTACAAAGTGATCACCAATGGACAGAATGATTTAGGCCAATTCATCCAAAAACACCTGCATTTTTTCCTCCTGCTTGAAAATGAAAACGACATCTGCATACTCCAGATCGATAATATTTTTGCCAGAATATATTTTAAAACCGGGCTTAGAAGTTACTCGTCTGATTATCCCATTGATCACGAGATTAAGTAGAAATGGAGAGATGGCGCTCTCGACGGACACAACATTATATAGGGAATGTCCCCATATATTTCCGTAGAATGTCCGAGTTGCCGCACCTCCTGTCCACGACGATGCAGAAGACTGCATGTTTGACTGCTCTCACTTCAACTGCGTGCTCTCTCCCCAAAATACACTATTTCCGAATGACGAACCGCACAATCAGCCTTCAGTAACGAATGGCGGGCAAGAGGAAAAGATGCTACGAGAATCACCAAATACGCGTGATATGACGCCTCACATGAAACTGGTTTTGCAGAGCTCCACGCTTTTTTTTAGCCTGTAGCTGAGGTCAGCGCGTACGGATAAGCGACACCACCAGATATCCCTGATCTAATGTCTCTGCAAGATCCAAGCTACCTTAGTTGCGCACAGTCTAGCGAATGCACGTCACCCATACTCACGTAGCTCTTCACGACTTCGTATCCACCGCATGCCCATTATCTGCACGTAAATATCGATTGCCGTTTTTTAAAATCGGGCGGTGTCGCCTCACTGGAGTAGCCAAGAATTGTGACAACTTTTGACTGTCTGCTATTTTGAGTTCTAACTCACGTCAGAGTGTTTTCTAGCAAACCTTTCGGACGTTTTCCTATTTTGAGTCCCTAATTTAGACATGGCTGTCTTATTGCCTCGTTTGAGTGGCGGCAATGAACCACAGTAAACCCTCGATGGACCCAGGAATATCCCAACAACAATGACACCCTTAAACGGCTCATCCAAGACGTTCGTGTACGGGGCTACCCACGAACCGAAGGACGGTGTCGCGATGACGGTACCACGACTAACATACCCAGTCTGATGGCTTGCCTGTATTTTATTATATCTACAATATTTCCCCGACGAGAGTGTTACCCAGAAGACCGTTTCAATCCGTTTAATTTGAGCTATCTTATTCTGCACTCCGCTTGATCTGCCCAAAAGCCCAATAGTTTATCCAGCGGCTCTAATGGTGGCTCGGTATATCAGTGAAGATCATACCTTGCCTTAAGCCAAATCTAACGTATGAAGATCATCATAGAAAAACAAAAACTTACTGGCTGTGACAAATTCCTTGGCTTCAATGGGGCGCTTGCAGCAACCGTAGAAAATTTTTTCATCCAGGTTGTGAATGTCCGCTCGAATTTGAGTTTGCGCGTGATTTTTGTTTATGTCGTTTTGACGTTATTTTCAAATCAAATACCTAAGAAATTACGCGAAGAAAACGTTTTCCCACAAAATTCCCCACCGTTTTCACACACACGATGGACGAAGCCGCCGACAGTCATTAAAATACGAATTCCGCGCCCACTCCAGATGCGTTTAAACAACTTCTAATAAAACTGCGGCCGCGTGGGGAGATCTAAGGCACAAGAATAATAACCATCAAATGCTAAAACTTTGTGTCAAAGTTTCCGTTTTTTGAAATCACGGTTTGAGAGTGATTTTGGGTGTGCGTCTAGGACGCGTCCACAAACCTGGACGCCATTTTTATCGGTTAAGTTCCACCATCATAATTGGTGAAGCCTTGTTTCCTTGCAATCCTTTTTCAGAATCAAATCCAGAAGCTGTGGCCAACGTAGACGACCTACCCATCCAGTGTCACGAGCAATTGGTGAACGACAGCCACTGACCGACAAGAACAAAGCCGACCCGGGAAACTTGGACAAAAGCCTCGATCCTGTGTATCAATCCGTTTATTTAACTACACCAAACATACTAACATGAGTTCACGGTTGTCATAGGCGGTCTGTTTCGATTCCGCGAAAATGAATAGCCTTTTGCGGTACGATTTTCCCGTCCAAGAAAATGAAGAATTTTGTGAAGGAAGAAAGGTAGGCTGTTTCTTGCATCCGTCGAATCATGGCTTGAGAAACTTGTGGCAACAGCTACACCCTGCGTCGCATCTGAGGGCACCCAGTTAATCAGTCCGTCCTGCACTACGTCTGGACCCTGTCGTCTAAACAAGGATGATGCTGTCTCCCAGACGCTTTCAAAGTTCTTTCCCCCTGTGAGGTACAAGGAAATGGGAACAAAGTGGGTAAAGCACGTTTCTGCGAAACAAGCGACACCAATCGAAATGACACATGTTAAGCAAGAAGTGGATCGCGTCCTGAAAGTCCGATGCAGCCGAAAAGCTCCTCTTTGTGTAATTCGTGAAGACGTGCTTTCAGATTTAATTAGAGAAATATTGCGACAGGTTAGTTGATCGCGGACATGGATATGAGATATCTTACTTAATTCGGTTCCATTCTGTTCAGCATTATTCCATGTGGAACAAACGTTCAGTATATAGCTCATATTGCATATTTTGTGGGTTACTGCCTCAGGCTTGTTCTGAAGAACTATAAACATATTTCATCGTCACTGACCCCCACTGTGTGGTAGAAGGCGGAAGTGCCATCTCGGTTAAGCTTTTTGGAACTGAAACGAGGGTAGACTTTCACTTGATAATGCGCCAGATCTACTTAATAATGCTTTCTAAATACTTTACACCACAATAACAACAATCCAATCGGCCACATGAGAATCCACCCTACACCCACTAGGTAGATTTTTCAATAAAACCCACGCAAATATAGCCTCATTTACATCTTTTTCACAATCGGTGGGCAGTGTCTCGTAAGACTAGTGTCCAGTAAATACAACAAACAAAGTAAAGAAAACTATACAGTTCCATTTGTATATGACTTAGCTTTCACTTGGTTTAACCATAGGCTTTTAGTCTGCCAGAAGCAAACATCATCAAGCTTTAGTTTGTAAATAATCCTGCCTTGCACTTTAAGAATTCCAAATCCTAGGCCTATAATGTTGCCACAGTTAGTTTGCTGCTGTTAGCAAATCCCCGCTGAGCACCAAGCAGTCAGTAGATAATATACGTTATTCTGTAAAAATCACATGTAGCAGTATATGTCCTTCACAAGAGCTAATCGGCCTGTTTTGATGTAATCAATTAGTTTGTAACCAAGTGCCAGCCGAACATACGTACATATGTAACAATATTGCAAACAAATTGACTATGAAATCAGAACGGGTTCAGAGACAACGACGTTCAGAAAACAATAAATCATGGGTAACGATGCGTCTGCACAAACTATCTACGCCAAAATATCATGCAACCACTAAGGAGACTTCAATCAGATGCAAAACAGGATGCAGCCCTGAACTTTTCCTGGAGGAATATTTTTAGGAAAAGATTAGAAGCAACTTATGTGTACTTTTGAGCTCTGTGAAAATGAAATTACTACAAAACAAGAAAAAGATTAACAGTATGAGAAACTTAGCTGAAAATAAGCGTAATCCGCAACAAAACCAAAGATCTGTCCAGGTAGTTGGGCCACTATTTGGCCATGTGCGCCAAACCAAAGTCACCTTTTTCACTCCTCATTTCACTTTCAACGATAATTGTGGTGTACAATAAAGACAGAGCAAACCTCAAAGTTTGGAAGTGACAAACGTTTTCCATTCTGGAGCACCGTCACTTGGTCTTTTGATATGCAAAGGGACATGCACAAGTGAAAAAATGTTGGCGCTCAAAATTTACTGACATCTACCCTTGAATTCAGTCATATAGATGCGCAAACATCTGACCGTACATCAGTGCCAAAACAATTCTGTTGTATATCACACTATTACTATGTTTTCATCGTGTAGTAAACCTCCATCTAATCATAACTTTGGAGTCAAAAACAATTTTGGATTATCATCATCACTGAAAGCATGACATCAGCATCATCATCGTCAGCTGTAAGAACCGCGCCGCGGTCGTACACTGGTTGTAGCTGCCACAGTTTCGTTCACCGATGATTGGGGGGTAAGTAGCTGCGCATTGCACGCGAGAGCTGGTAAATTGGTGCATAAATCCAGCACTGTCAGTGAGTTGTCAAGCGGGGGGGTAGAAAAGGAGCTATGCACTGAGGGCGATAGATTGGATGCACGAGCGCCACTGAGGGCGCGACTGGGCCATGTCTGATAATGTCTCTAGCCATTGCTGTGGCCCGTCTCCGGGTCCCCATCCAGGAAGACGGCAGTGACCAGCGCA